TTTTTTAGAAAGATATTCAGCGTTATTTAGTGAACAGTGGGGGGGGGGGTGAATTTGGTAACGAGAGATTTTCTATAATATGTCAGTCAATAAGTCTATGATATTTTACTATTTTTAAATTTATTTTAAGGTTGTACTATTAATAAATTTTAAGATAAGTACGGCCCAACTTACGACTTAAACCTATTCAATTCACGCTTTAGGACTTTAGGGGACTGCGCACATATTATATAGCGGCTCGTGGGTGGGGGGGGGGGTGTATATTGTGTCATAATGGGATGGGGGGGTGGAAAACAATGATATATATTTTTTTTTTTCCTTTTTCTAATTTTTTTTTTTTTTCAAAATGTCTGCTTTTCAAATTTACGAAATTAGCCTAGAGTATAAAAAACTGAACATGAATTAATTGATCTGGATAAGCATGATTTATTAAATTTTTAATACGTTAGGGGTACCAGACGTCCTTATTTTAGTACCGACAGTTGGTAGTTTCGACCCCCTTGCCCGTACTAATTTTTGCGTCCGGGTTTTCCGTACTTTTGGCAGCGACGACTTGCTTGTCTTATTTCCATTTGTCTTATCGTATTTCTCCGCAAAGGCAAGCCGCGCAGTGAATAGTTTCAGCGCCATCGGACAGTCCAAAAATAGCATATTTATATCTCCAAAGCTGTAAAAAAGAATACCACGCCATGTTGTGTTGGAATTATCGTCATAATGTTGCCAATTGTTTTCCCAAAATGAACTAGCTAGATATCACTCCATTAGTACTCAGTAGAAGCGCTGTATTACAGTAATATGTCGTCCACCGAGTCTTCAATAAGCTAGTTCAGTGGTTCCTATAAAGTTTCAATTGCCGGCGCTTATGCCAAATTTAGGTTTTTCACCATTATTTTGCCGACCTCTCGGATACCCCTTTTCAGTTATGTGCTATTTTTATTTTATTCTGTTTTTACTTCCTCGTCAGTGGCGTAGCTTGGGGAGGGGTAGGTGGATCCAAATTCGAAACTCCCCCAAGGCCCCTACTTGAGGGGGCCCCCAAAGGCGTGTCCGAAATTTTTTTTTTTTGGCATTAAATAATGTCGAATGTCAAAATGCAGGGGCACCTAAAGAGTCCAAGCCCCCAGGGCCCCCAAATCCCTAGCTACGCCACTGTTCCTCGTCTTTCTGAAGTATATGGGATTTGATAGTTTAATTCACTATTAAGATGATGTGTCTGTCACGTTGTCAGCAGACGATATATCTGTCGAATAGATGTCATGTAGCCCTTAACAATTCAATGTCTCACCATTCTTACGTCATTTCTGACAGATCATCAAATTAAGATGTGCTAGAATGGTCGGTACTCACGGTTAACTTTTGCTGTTGTGTGCATCGGTGGTGGAAGAGGGGGTGGGGTGTAAGATGGGGAGGTACGGCCCCCACCTCTCTCCAAAAATAAGGACGCCACTTTTCTTTAAAGGAAAAAGGGGGTGGGGCATTTGCAGTCCACTGGAAATTGTAAACACGGCTTACTTTTGATGTTTATAGTCTGTCTGTTTAGTGGTTTCATTTTGATGTCTGTCTTGTCTGTTTAGTGGTTTACTTTTGATGTTTATAGTCTGTCTGTTTAGTGGTTTCCTTTTGATGTCTGTCCTGTCTGTTTAGTGGTTTACTTTTGATGTTTATAGTCTGTCTGTTTAGTGGTTTCCTTTTGATGTCTATCCTGTCTGTTTAGTGGTTTCCTTTTGATGTTTATAGTCTGTCTGTTTAGTGGCTTACTTTTGATGTTTATGATCTGTCTGTTTAGTGGTTTCCTTTTGATGTCTGTCCTGTCTGTTTAGTGGTTTACTTTTATGTATAATCTGTAAGCTTAGGGGTTTACTTTTGATGCATATTGTAGGGAAACCTTGTTTCGTCTCTGGTAAACCTTCAATCTATATCTGGTATTCACTATTGAGACAACTCAGGCGATAACACTTGGTGGTTATAGTCTTGTTCCTTTATTGATATTCTATTTCGCTTATACTTCTGCTACTTCGCTTATACTTTCGCTCCGTCTCACACTCAACCCTGACAGTCCTCTACTCCTACCAGTCGGAGCTCTCTCTGACGCTCCGCTTCCCTGTCCGGCTGCGTTCTGAATTTCCGGCTGCGTTCTGTCTCCCTATTGATAAGTCCTGAGCCCATAGAGATTCCTTTCCAGGTCTTTAATCTTAATCCCAAATCTCAGGTACTTAGATTTTCCAACCGTCTAAATGGTCATACACCCTCTGCGTAACTGTCGTCCAGGGGAAATCTGATAGGCCACAACCTTTGGTCAGTTGGTCGGTTACGGTGCTGTGGGATCTGATACGCTAGACCCTTTGGTCAGTTGGTCGGTTACCGTGCTGTGGGATCTGATACGTTACAACCTTTGGTCAGTTGGTCGGTTACCATGCTGTGGGATCTGATACGTTACAACTTTTGGTCAGTTGGTCGGTTACCGTGCAGTGGGATCTGATACGCCACAACCTTTGGTCAGTTTGTCTGTTACCGTGCTGTGGGATCTGATACGCTACAACCTTTGGTCAGTTGGTCGGTTACCGTGCAGTGGGATCTGATACGCCACAACCTTTGGTCAGTTGGTCGGTTACCGTGCTGTGGGATCTGATACGTTACAACCTTTGGTCAGTTGGTCGGTTACCGTGCTGTGGGATCTGATACGCCACAACCTTTGGTCAGTTGGTCTGTTACCGTGCTGTGGGATCTGATAGGCCACAACCTTTGGTCAGTTGGTCTGTTACCGTGCTGTGGGATCTGATAGGCCACAACCTTTGGTCAGTTGGTCGGTTACCGTGCTGTGGGATCTGATACGCTAGACCCTTTGGTCAGTTGGTCGGTACCCCGCTGTGAGATTCCACCAACGCCTGTCGCACCAGGTCCGAACTCTCCACAATATTCTGTATGTTTAGTGGTTTACTTTTGATGTATATTCTGTAAGCTTAGTGGTTTACTTTTGATGTATATTCTGTATGTTTAGTGGTTTACTTTTGATGTATATTCTGTATGTTTAGTGGTTTACTTTTGATGTACATTCTGTAAGCTTAGTGGTTTACTTTTGATGATTTACTTTTGATGTATATTCTGTATGTTTAGTGGTTTACTTTTGATGTATATTCTGTATGTTTAGTGGTTTACTTTTGATGTATATTCTGTAAGCTTAGTGGTTTACTTTTGATGTATATTCTGTATGTTTAGTTGTTTACTTTTGATGTTTATATTATGTATGTTTAGTGTTTTACTTTTGATGTATATTCTGTATGTTTAGTGGTTTACTTTTGATGTATATTCTGTATGTTTAGTGGTTTACTTTTGATGTATATTCTGTATGTTTAGTGGTTTACTTTTGATGTATATTCTGTAAGCTTAGTGGTTTACTTTTGATGTATATTCTGTATGTTTAGTGGTTTACTTTTGATGTATATTCTGTATGTTTAGTGTTTTACTTTTGATGTATATTCTGTATGTTTAGTGGTTTACTTTTGATGTATATTCTGTATGTTTAGTGGTTTACTTTTGATGTATATTCTGTAAGCTTAGTGGTTTACTTTTGATGTATATTCTGTATGTTTAGTGGTTTACTTTTGATGTATATTCTGTAAGCTTAGTGGTTTACTTTTTATGTATATTCTGTATGTTTAGTGGTTTACTTTTGATGTATATTCTGTCTTTTTAGTGGTTTACTTTTGATGTATATTCTGTATGCTTAGTGGTTTACTTTTGATGTATATTCTGTATGTTTAGTGGTTTACTTTTGATGTATATTCTGTAAGCTTAGTGGTTTACTTTTGATGTATATTCTGTAAGCTTAGTGGTTTACTTTTGATGTATATTCTGTATGCTTAGTGGTTTACTTTTGATGTATATTCTGTATGTTTAGTGGTTTACTTTTGATGTATATTCTGTAAGCTTAGTGGTTTACTTTTGATGCATATTCTGTATGTTTAGTGGTTTACTTTTGATGTATATTCTGTAAGCTTAGTGGTTTACTTTTGATATATATTCTGTATGTTTAGTGGTTTACTTTTGATGTATATTCTGTAAGCTTAGTGGTTTACTTTTGATGTATATTCTGTATGTTTAGTGGTTTACTTTTGATGTATATTCTGTATGTTTAGTGGTTTACTTTTGATGTATATTCTGTATGTTTAGTGGTTTACTTTTGATGTATATTCTGTAAGCTTAGTGGTTTACTTTTGATGTATATTCTGTATGTTTAGTTGTTTACTTTTGATGTTTATATTATGTATGTTTAGTGTTTTACTTTTGATGTATATTCTGTATGTTTAGTGGTTTACTTTTGATGTATATTCTGTATGTTTAGTGGTTTACTTTTGATGTATATTCTGTATGTTTAGTGGTTTACTTTTGATGTATATTCTGTAAGCTTAGTGGTTTACTTTTGATGTATATTCTGTATGTTTAGTGGTTTACTTTTGATGTATATTCTGTATGTTTAGTGGTTTACTTTTGATGTATATTCTGTATGTTTAGTGGTTTACTTTTGATGTATATTCTGTATGCTTAGTGGTTTACTTTTGATGTATATTCTGTAAGCTTAGTGGTTTACTTTTGATGTATATTCTGTCTTTTTAGTGGTTTACTTTTGATGTACATTCTGTAAGCTTAGTGGTTTACTTTTGATGTATATTCTGTAAGCTTAGTGGTTTACTTTTGATGTTTATATTCTATATGTTTAGTGGTTTACTTTTGATGTATATTCTGTATGTTTAGTGGTTTACTTTTCATGTATATTCTGTATGTTTAGTGGTTTACTTTTGATGTATATTCTGTATGTTTAGTGGTTTACTTTTGATGTTTATATTATGTATGTTTAGTGGTTTACTTTTGATGTATATTCTGTATGTTTAGTTGTTTATATTTGATGTTTATATTATGTATGTTTTGTGTTTTACTTTTGATGTATATTCTGTATGTTTAGTGGTTTACTTTTGATGTTTATATTATGTATGTTTAGTGTTTTACTTTTGATGTATATTCTGTATGTTTAGTGGTTTACTTTTGATGTATATTCTGTATGTTTAGTGGTTTACTTTTGATGTATATTCTGTATGTTTAGTGGTTTACTTTTGATGTATATTCTGTATGTTTAGTGGTTTACTTTTGATGTATATTCTGTATGTTTAGTGGTTTACTTTTGATGTATATTCTGTAAGCTTAGTGGTTTACTTTTGATGTATATTCTGTATTTTTAGTGGTTTACTTTTGATGTACATTCTGTAAGCTTAGTGGTTTACTTTTGATGTATATTCTGTAAGCTTAGTGGTTTACTTTTGATGTATATTCTGTAAGCTTAGTGGTTTACTTTTGATGTTTATATTCTGTATGTTTAGTGGTTTACTTTTGATGTATATTCTGTATGTTTAGTGGTTTACTTTTGATGTATATTCTGTATGTTTAGTGGTTTACTTTTGATGTATATTCTGTATGTTTAGTTGTTTACTTTTGATGTATATTCTGTATGTTTAGTGGTTTACTTTTGATGTATATTCTGTATGTTTAGTGGTTTACTTTTGATGTTTATATTATGTATGTTTAGTGTTTTACTTTTGATGTATATTCTGTATGTTTAGTGGTTTACTTTTGATGTATATTCTGTATGTTTAGTGTTTTACTTTTGATGTATATTCTGTAAGCTTAGTGGTTTACTTTTGATGTATATTCTGTAAGCTTAGTGTTTTACTTTTGATGTATATTCTGTATGCTTAGTGGTTTACTTTTGATGTATATTCTGTATGCTTAGTGGTTTACTTTTGATGTATATTCTGTATGTTTAGTGTTTTACTTTTGATGTATATTCTGTAAGCTTAGTGGTTTACTTTTGATGTATATTCTGTATTTTTAGTGGTTTACTTTTGATGTACATTCTGTAAGCTTAGTGGTTTACTTTTGATGTATATTTTGTAAGCTTAGTGGTTTACTTTTGATGCATATTCTGTAAGCTTAGTGGTTTAGTTTTGATGTTTATATTCTGTATGTTTAGTGGTTTACTTTTGATGTATATTCTGTATGTTTAATGGTTTACTTTTGATGTATATTCTGTATGTTTAGTGGTTTACTTTTGATGTATATTCTGTATGTTTAGTTTTTTTACTTTTGATGTTTATATTCTGTATGTTTAGTGGTTTACTTTTGATGTATATTCTGTATGTTTAGTTGTTTACTTTTGATGTTTATATTATGTATGTTTAGTGTTTTACTTTTGATGTATATTCTGTATGTTTAGTGGTTTACTTTTGATGTATATTCTGTATGTTTAGTGGTTTACTTTTGATGTATATTCTGTATGTTTAGTGGTTTACTTTTGATGTATATTCTGTATGTTTAGTGTTTTACTTTTGATGTATATTCTGTATGTTTAGTGTTTTACTTTTGATGTTTATATTATGTATGTTTAGTGGTTTACTTTTGATGTATATTCTGTATGTGTAGTGGTTTACTTTTGATGTATAGTATGTATGTTTAGTGGTTTTCGTGGGTGAGGGTGGTGGCAAGGTCAAGAATGGCCACGGTAGTCACAAACTCTAGTTAGGCACACACCACTTGTTGCATGTGAGCAAGCCTATGGTGCTAAACTCTAAAATTAAACATTTAAAAACGGTAAGATGCTTTAAGATGTTATAAAATCTTGTGAGACCTTCTAAGACCTTCTAAGACGTTACAAGACCTAGTAAAATATTGTAAGACGTTGTAAGACCTTTTAAGACGATACAAGAACTTGTAGAAACTTGTAAGAACTTGTAAGACGTTGTAAGATCTTGTAAAACGTTGTATGATCTTATAAGACGTTGTATGACCTTGTAAGACGTTTTAAGACGATGTATGATCTTGTAAGACGTTGTATGATGTGGTAAGACGTTTAAGACGTTGTATGATCTTGTAAGACGTTGTACGACGTTGTTTGACGTTGTATGATTTTTATAACTTTGTAGGTCTTTGTAAGACGTTGTATGACCTTGTATGACGTTGTAAGAAGTTGTATGACCTTGTAAGATGTTGTATAATCTTGTAAGACGTTTTAAGACGTTGCATGATCTTTTAAGACGTTGTAAGACGTTATAAGACGTTGTATGACGTTGTATGACTTTTATGACATTGTAGGTCTTTGTAAGACGTTTTATGATCTTGTAAGACATTGTAGGATGTTGTATGACCTTCTATGACGTTGTAAGATGTTGTATGACCTTGTAAGAAGTTGCAAGACGTATGATCTTGTAAGACGTTGTAAGACCTTGTAAGACGTTGTAAGATCTTGTAAGACGTTTTAAGACCGTGTAAAAGCTTTTATGATCTTGTAAGACGTTGTAAGACCGTGTAAGACGTTGTAAGATCTTGTAAGAAGTTGCAAGATCTTGTCAGATTTTACTAAATCTTGTAAGACCGTTTAAGACCTTGTAAGACTTTTTAAGGCGTTAAAAGACATTGTAAGACCTTGTAATTTTGGTGTATGACCTTTAAGGACGTTAAAAGACCTTGTAAGGCGAACAAAGATTTAACGATGTTTCGGTGTTTTAGCAAACGATGGTTCTCAAAGTTTGATGATTTTATTTTTTATTTTTTTTGGGGGGTGGGGGGTTGTTTTAGAGGAATTTAATGATGAATCTCAACTGGTGAGTAATAGTGACAATAACCACGGCGATGATTTGATGTTACACAATGAATAGAACACGAACAAGTCAGGATAAGAAGGGTGGACCGTCTATGTTATAAAATAGCCCTAGAGTGAAAGATACCACCACAACCATTGTTTATTGTAATAGTAGGACTATTTTCACCCCTGTGACCAGTTTTTTTTAAATTTTGTAACTAAATTTTCTTGTTGTGCATGTAGTACAAACTGTAATTAAAGATTTAAAATATTTAAAATTGCGTATCATTCCGCGAACAGCATTCTTTAGGAATTTTCCTAAGCTTTTGGGTTTTGCTTTTGGAGTTGTTGTTTTTTTTTTTTTGGTGGGGGGCTGAGGTGGGGGGTAAAAATTGATTAAAAAAATTATATATATAAAGAAAATTTGGTATTGTGAGATCTACTCATGGGCGCCCGCAGGGGGGGGCAAGGGGGCACTTGCCCTCCCCCCCGCATTGATTGGGTAAAAAAAATTTAGACACAAATAGACAAAAAAAAAAGCTACAGTAAATTAAAACTACATTAAAACATTACCAAAAATCCCCCCCCCCCCAGAAGGTTAATCGATCCCCCCCCCTTCCTAGAAAGTTTTCTGCGGGCGCCCATGGATCTACTATATCTTTTTTCGCATTTTATTTTCTTCAGCTTTCAGACCAAGGTCTACTAATCATAATATTCGTACGTCTCACTCGGAATCCTTCCCTTTTATGACGTAGGCTTCGATCGGGCCATTCACAGATCACGACACACCCAATCCACAGATCACGACACACCCATTTCTCTCTCCCCTCGCCGTTTTCTCCGGCCACAACTTTTACTGAATCGACACACATTCGTGACAACACCCCATCACCCCATTATGAGTAGAGATCATAGGGTCGTTATGGGGTGGCTACAAAACCACGCATGTAGGTCTGTCAATGTAGATCTGTCAATGTAGGCCTGTCAATGTAGGCTTGTCAATGTAGGCCTTTCAATGTAGGCTGTCAATGTAGGCCGTCAATGTAGGTCTGTCAATGTAAGCCTGTCCATGTAGGCTTGTCAATGTAGGCCTGTCAATGTAGGCCTGTCAATGTAGGCTGTCAATGTAGGCTGTCAATGTAGGCCGTCAATGTAGGCCTGTCAATGTAAGCCTGTAAATGTAGGCTTTCAATGTAGGCTTGTCAATGTAGGCCTGTCAATGTACGCTGTCAATGTAGGCTTTCAATGTAGGCTTGTCAATGTAGGCCTGTCAATGTAGGCCTGTCAATGTAGGTTGTCAATGTAGGCCGTCAATGTAGGTCTGTCAATGTAAGCCTGTCCATGTAGGCTTGTAAATGTAGGCCTGTCAATGTAGGCCTATCAATGTAGGCCTGTAAATGTAGGTCTGTCAATGTAGGCCTATCAATGTAAGCCTGTCAATGTAGGCCTGTCAGTGTAGGTCTGTCAATGTTGGCCTGTCTATGTAGGTCTGTCAACGTACGCCTGTCGGGTTGCATGAAATAATAATATAGGCCTACCCTGAAGAACAAAAACTAATTTTTAACACACATATGAGACGGTGATTTCAATGGAACATAGATGCCTTTATTGGGGTAAAAAACACACTTGTACACATCCATCAATAGCTGGTTTTTTTAATAAAAGACATTTTCACAATAAATTTAATTTATAAATGTTATGTATGTGGTATATCCCATAAACTAGGTATACATTTTTTTAATTAAAAATTATTTTTTTTTTAAAAAAAGGTAAGTTAAACTAATTTGTAAACAAAAACAAACAGATTTATTCTTTGTTATTATAAAAGTTTTCAAAATTAACTTCATGAGCTAGATTTTCATTACAAATATGTTTTTGATATCATTACAAATACTTGTTTGATATCATTACAAATACTTGTTCAGTATCAATACAAACACTTGTTTGATATCATTACAAATATTTGTTTGATATCTTTATGAGTACTTGTTTGGTTTTATTACAAATACTTGTAATTTTAAAAACAAAAATGTGGAAGTGCAAACATTTCATTTTTATCATCAAAATCTCAGAATAAGTGGGTGACATCCTTTTGCCATTAAGGAAGATAATTGAATTCTATGTGCACATAATTCATTAGAACTCTTTAGTTTTATTTATGATTATTTTGGTTTCAATTTTATATAGAAACCACCTAGATTGATAAAATATAGATCCTAAATGAGGAATTATGATTTTTTTTAAAAACTAATATTTTGACTTTGCCTCGGATCCGTACTTGGCTGGATGGGGCAGACTATCACATCTCTCATTTCCTAAGGTTAGGAAAAGTTTGGTTCAGAGTTTAGAGGATAAAGAAACTGAAATACTTCTTATTTTATTTATTTTTATTTTTTTTACATTTTAAAATTTGGTTTCCTGTGACTAAATTTTGGCAACATAGAAATGAATGAATCAAAGAGAAGATTAAAAAGCATTGATGATTTAAAACAGTTGAATTTATTAACAATTTAATTTAAATGATAGAAAGGGACATTTTCTTTTCCCAAAATTCTTTTTTGTCCAATCATTTTAATAATTTTTTTGTGAGCAATTGTTTGTTAAATTAAATTATTTATGATTTTATTCAAATAAAGTTATGGGTTAAGATTTTTTTGTACAAAGTTAACCACAACTTACTTCATGATCTGGAAATATACACATTTTGTCTTTAGTCTATATACACCATGAACATGTAAAACTAAAAAATATATAAACAATTTTTTTTATATAAAAGTTGTTGTTTTTTTAAACCCTACAATCAACAGAATGACAAATATTTTTGAGAAGCATTTATTATAATTATGATAATAAGACTATTAACTAATGACCAATTTATAAGTTTATTTTGTTGGCAAAATAAACATTTATTTGATCTATAATAATAATAAGCCACATTATTATTGCCCATTGATAATTTTAAACACACAGACATGGGCAAAATAACAACTTTTGAAATGGGACAGCTATAAGTAGAGATGACTGGAGATTTGAGAATAGACAGTGGTTGGGTCGCAGGGAGAGGGTAAGAAAACAATACATTGAGAACATGAAAGGGTACAAGGAGTGTTTAAAAATCTTGCCGGGGTGTATTGGTGGTCTATTTTATAGTTTATAGCATCTAAAATATAACATATGAAAAATATTTGCATGGAATCATTTTACCACTAGAAAAACAGAATGACAAGAAAATATGAAATTTTTTTTACTATCTTCTTGTCTTTTTTTATTTTTTTAAGAACCAAAAAAAGGAAAGCTGCTATTTGACTTTCACTGACTTATTGACAATGAGTAAAAGATAAATTTTAGGAACCTCGGTTTTATTAATTTTCTATAAATTCTTTTAATACATTTTTATAAGTTTTTTAAAATTTATTTTGGGTGAGAAAATTTATTCAAATCAAGATATTGCTTTTTAATTTAATTATTTCAAATATGCATCAAAGTGGAAACACGACAAATACTTGTTTGGGCAAAAAGTATGGAGAATACATAATAGTCAACTTTCAAACCACAAGGATTGTGAATTCAAATTATTGCAAAAAATATATTTTTAAAAAAGTTAGTAAAATTATGGGAACCAAGGTGAATTTTCCAGTTATTTAAAATTATTCCAATAAATTATAAAATTCCATTTCCTGTGTCAGTGATGTCTTTTAAAGTAATGTTTGTTTTAAAAAGAAAACAGTTCCAGTAGCGAGTAGCATTTTTATGTCAATCACAGATGTATGTGCATGTTTGAACACCATCTATCTGGGAATGTTGCAAATTTAGGAAAGTTCAGGTCAGAGATATAACTATAACATTAAAAAACCCAAGGCAATATTACCTTTGAAATTATCCCCATTGCTATTTGTTTCAATTTCAAATAATCATTTATGTGAACACTTTGTTTATGTGGTCAGTATGAGTATAAAGCTAACAGAGACAGTGTCAGTGTGGCCAGTCTGAGTACATGTATAAAGCTAACAGATGCAGAGAAACCATCACACACATTAGGTACTCTGGAACACACACATTTCCACTAAAAGGTATTATAATCTACACCTGTGATTAAAAAAATAAATATTTCACAGTTATTGTTCTGTCTTTATATTTTAAGCGTACAAATAACTTTGCTCAAGTATTTCCTTAAACTTGGGTTGCAAGACAGTTGCACAATATTTTTTTTTTTTAAATTACTTTTCAATTTCATTCAGATAAAGATTTCAAAAGTTTCAAGAGATATTACAAGCTATAGCGATTTAAATCTACAATTATCTATGTCTGTGTGTGAGAAAGAGAGAGAGAGAGAGAGAGAGAGTGTGTGTGTGTGTGTGTGTGTGTGTGTTTTGGAAAAAAAAGGAAACATTTTACCATGAAATTCTTGTAATCCATTTTTCAACTTTCCCAATCTTTTTAATAAACAATTATTGATACTTAAAAAGCTTAAAAATTTGTTAAAAGCTTTCATTAAATTCCCCAGATTAAGTATAATCAAATTTTTTGATTATCTATATTTTAACATTTCTTATTATTTAGTCCTATAATCATAATGCCGGATTTAAAACATTATTAAGTGACATTTAAACCCAATTAAGCTTCAAATTCCTAATCTAACAAATGCATTTTGTTGAATTTGGTTGAATTATGTTAATTTTTTTTTTCAATGTTTTTGAATTTCACTTTCATTTTTGGACAAATATCTTTTTTGAGTACCTACATCGGAGGAATGCTGTGAAAAAAAATTGGGGATGCTACGACAAAGGAGACCTTAATGATGTCACAAAATCTGTTTCATGTAATCTGATAGCGCAAGGCCAACAGAGACGACACCTAAGCCAATGTTTGACCAGGGTATGTGACTTGCGAGCAGCACCCCACCGTTGCAGGCATCCCTCGTGCAGGACATCATGCACCCAGAGTATCGGGCATTCTCAAATTGGAAGAGACCACAGGTGTTGTCTAAGGAAGACATGCTACAAGATCTGTAGATCATCTCCTCATTGGTCTTTACTGCGCAAGGAAAACAACATTATATTATATAGTTTAAAAACAGTAACTGATTTTTTTTTTCTATTTACTTTTAAACAAAAAAAGAAAATTGGTGCCGTATTAGATTCCATGCACATGAATTATACCCAGTATAAACTGAAGTCATTTTAAAGTTTTCTAAAAAGGTTTATAAAAATTAAGTATTAAGTGAAAACATGTGAGAAATGGATGCTTTTTTTTAAAGGTTTTTTTTTGAAAATGTTACTTTTGAAAATGTTACTTTTGTAACATTTTTTTTTTAATTAATGGATCACGGTTTTTAAACGAGAGACTGTTCGAAACTGATTTTTAAAATTAATAGATCACGGTTTATTAGAAGGGAGACTGTTCGAAACAGAGTTTGAAATGAATGAAACAAGTTTCATAAAGGGGAGACTACTCGAAACAGTGCTTTTAAAAAACAAAAGTACCTACAGCTAGTTCCCTTGATTTTGATGCAGTACCTGGCTGGGAACAGGCCAATGCGACTATCCTGGCCTTGTTCACATCTGAGGATAAGGAGTAACAAACATTGACATAGCTATCGAAAATATTCTGATGTTGTTCGATTGTCTGTTAGGCTGGTAACGAAACAGAGCTCCCTTAAGTCAGTCACTTAGTAAAGGCAAAAATTACAATAAAAAAACATATTTTTTTTCTATTCGATAAAACTTCCATCTATCCGTCTGTTTTAGCTTTTTTAGCGTCAGATGCCTTCAGTGCATTGATCTATTAGTCCATCCAACCACCCTCCTGCCTGCCTAGCTACCTACCGATCTGCCTACCTACTTACTTACCTACCTGCTTGCCTGATTCCTACCTGTCTACCTACCTGCCTGCCTGTCTGCCTGCCCATCTACCTAACTACCTACCTGCCTGTCTGCCTGCCTATCAACCTGCCAATCTGCCTTCCTACCTAGCTACCTATCCATCTACCTACCTACATACCTAACTAACTGCCTGCTAGCCTACCTACCTACCTTCTTGCCTATCTACATACCTACCTTCCTACAATAGTGCTTACCTACCTACCTACAAAACTACCTATGTACCTATTAAATCAAGGTAAACATACATAAATCTTTTCGGAGCAGCTAAATCTGTGGGAGGCGAACCGTGAAATATTTGTTTAAAAATTGAAATAATTGTCCAGGAGCATCGGGCCCCTTAAATATAATAGGCCAACCCGTGGCCGATGAGGTTGCAGGGCCCAGGCCACGGCTGTGTCGAGCAGTTCCTTGGGCATGGAGAGATTTAAATCAGTTGAATCACATTTATATTATGAGTTAAAAGGTTCTAATACGAGGCATAAAAACTGAGACTATTTAATGGATACCAAAACTAAAATCACATCTTAAGGACAGTTTCATACTAAAAATGGGTGGGGGGGGGGGCATCCTTTTGTTATATTGTGCTAAATGGGTAGGGGTGGTAGAGAGCAATGTTATTTGTGGTGGGGGGGGGTGTTAGAGGGTAAGGATTAACAGTGGCTTAGCTAGGGTAGGGGGGGGGGGGGGGGGGGCATCCTTTTGTTATATTGTGCTAAATGGGTAGGGGTGGTAGAGAGCAATGTTATTTGTGGTGGGGGTGGGTGTTAGAGAGTAATGATTAACAGTGGCTTAGCTAGGGTTGGTGTCACTTGGTGCGGTAACATGGTGCCTCCCCCCGCCCCTTGTCTTCCACTACTGATTTCTTCTTGTTAATATAAGTACACAGCATAACGATGAAAAGAGTTTTTTTTAAACAAATTAATTGAATATAAGGAGTTGAATGTAATGAGTTAGATGTATTCAAGAACTGCAACGACGTTAAGTTGTAGTTATTTTTACATTAAATTTACTTTTTTTTAATTTTTTTTTTATTTAAATACATTTTTTAAAGATATTAGAAAATTTTGTAAAATATTTTGTTAACCCTATCAATGGGTAAAAATTCATTGTTTTTAATTTTTACAGATTTCTTCATGTACTTGGAATCGTCCGACCACGTTGTATAGTTGCATTTGCTATCAATGGAAAGCTTTATTTCTTTAAAATTTTTCTAAATTTATTAAAGGTTCACCTCATTTCTGACGCATCAACCTGAGAGTTTTTTTGTGTGTGTGGAAATAATACGATTTTCGATTTGGTAGTAGCCATAGATGGCTCAGCACCGGAATATCTCAAGGAACTGATTTATAAACATGTACCCTTGAAGAGCCTACGGTCTTCAACACAGTACTTACTGAGAGTTCCTTTAGTGTGGATGAACACAGGAAAAAAGTCTTATGGAGTGCGCTCTTTTGAAGCGATAGCGCCAAAATTATGGAACAGTTTGCCTCAATCTTTGAGGGGAATTGTAAATGATAAAAAAATCATTTAAGAAACAATTAAAACTTTTTTGTTTCAATAGATTTCGGAGGACCAGAGCGCAGTGAGCATGCTAAAATGGCATGGATACCGGCGCGATATAAATATCAAATCAATCAATCAATATTATTCGGATGTATATTTATTTCCTATGTTGGTTAAGTAGTTCTTGAGATGTGACATATATTTTATTATTTAATTTATGTATTTTTTAAATTTTTTTGTTACAGAGGGTTATATTAGAATTTACCACATTTAAAAAAATATAAAAAAATAAAAAACTTTCCATGAATTAATTTTTTGAACAACGATGACCTCCCAAATAATTGTTTAATACAATGATCAGTCCCTTTGAACACGGTGGCTTCCATAGAAATAAACAAAACATTTTGTGTCTATAACAATTGTCGTGGCATGTGTTTAATGTATTTATACATTGCTTATAGTGATAACAAATATTCAGGAGGTTACAGAAACTAAAATTTCATGGAAATAGATTCAATAAATCTAATTATTTGGACCTAATAAGGATGTTTTAAATGTAAATTATCAAAACAATCACTCTGTTTCTGTTGAATTTGAATCGTTAAAGATGAAAGACACTTGTGACTTGTGCATGACTTGTCTAAATACCCAAGTGTAGTGGTCTGGAGACTGGACACACCCAATGCCACGCCCACCCCCGAACAGGTAAGAAAATAAATTCAAAGACATCTATGTAATAGGTCTAAGTGATTCTCATGCAGATTAAAATGTAGGTGAATACAATGAAAATCATTTCATTATTATAGTTGTTCAATGTTGTTTTTTTTTAAATTTAATAACAGTGAATCAGTAGAAATGGATATAAGAAAGCCACGTTTAGAAACATTTCCACCCGAGGATTATTAGTAAATGTTTAGATGGTTATACCCAATATGCAGACGAATCGATGAATAGTATTATATTGAAATGTGCCCTCCAGAAAAAATTATAATGGTTTTAGAGCTGTCAACATTGTTGTTGGACTAGCAACCCTTCTTTTCAATGATGGACGCAAGGCATTGGAGGCGGCTCCTCTAAGATTTTTTAAGCTGTCCTGTGGTTAGTTTACATTCATCTATTTACTATTTCATTATGTCGGATGTTAAGCAGATATCAAATGTACAAAAACAAATGACTGAGTCCTTAGAAGCTAGAAAGCCAGAAAAAGGCTGAAGTTAAGGTTAGAAGAGTCAAAAGTGAAAGCTAAATATCGTCCTTAACACTCAAGGGGTCATTTTGATTAGATTTTTTTTTTAAATATTGCATGCTTCACAAAATTTGAACATTTAGTTAAAATAATTATTAATAACTCTTTCAGTATCAACCAATTTGTTAAAAAAAAGCATAAGAAATTTGAGCTTAAAACTTTTCTGAAACATTATTTTTTTGTTTGACCTGCCAATTTGGTGCGTGACATTTTCTTTTTTATTTCGTTCCTAATGGGAGCACACTATTATGGACTCGTTTTTAATGTCAATATTATGTGTTATAACAGTAGAAAGACCATCCATCTACCTTCAGTGAAAATTTGACACTTGTAGCTTTAATTATTTTTATTTATTTTTTTTTTTGTGGTGAATATTTTAGAAGTCCACCTATGTTCTGGGTGTACCTCCACCACCCCCCCCCCCAAAAAAAAGCAACTTAATTCTTTTTAAAACTATTTTTCTTTTTGCTTTATCCCCCCCCCCCCCCGGGTAAAAACAATGTCGGCCCAAATGAGTGAATTTCCAATCTATTAAAGTAACAAAACATAATTGAAGTAACGCAGTTTATTAGACTCCTAATTAGTGCAACCCCACTCCGGTACGCCACCTCACCTGAAATCTAATCATATTATAACGTAACACCCCCTTTTATACCATAGATTTATTACACCAGTGGTTCTCTACCTGTGGGTCGCGACCCCTTTGGGATACTCCTACAGTCATGAAGTAGAAACGAAAATAATTTTGTGGTTGGGGGGTGGAAACAACATGAGGAACTGTATTAAAGGGTCGCGGCATTAGAAAGGTTGAGAACCACTGTATTACACCATGTTTAAAGAGAGACTATTTCCATAAAATAAAATTAAAAAATATTACCCACCAAATTAAATGCACTTGTGGTATTGTTAAGAATCTCATGTAACGCAGTTATCTGGAAGTTTATTTAGTGAAATCAGGGCCCTCTTGTAGAGTGACTGACATTGTTACGTAGAGAATTATTATCATTGATACTTAATGCACATAAAAGCTAACTAAAAGAATGGGATATTATTCTATCTTTTCTCTCACTATATTTTCGAAATCGATCTCTGAGATGAAGATCGAATTTTTTATATTTTTTTTTTTTATAAATCGGGCATCCGTGGGACGAAGTACTTAACGGGCCGGGCCACCCCCTGGCTTATACGTTATTCCCACGACTACTGTCTGTGTAGAACCTGTCAGGGCAGACATCTATTATTTATTGACAGCAATCTACTGCATCGCTCAGTACTAAGTCCCCAGGTGCTATTGAGTTTCTATAATAAATATCTCCCTCTCCCTGCCCCCCCCCCAATGATGTCACGTGGTTCATTAGATCCTATCAGTTCGTTTCAGTAAATACCATCTCGTGCTCGCTGTTAAGTTTCTAACTGGTATGACATCATCTATTTGGGCCAACAACACAAAATATATTACTTGTATTTGAACCAATTTTATTTTGTAACTCCTACACGTCTAGAGAGTTCGCTTTTACGTGTACGTCACACTTACTTGATGTGGTAGCGGTCCATATTGAAGGCAGGGTGAAACGGGTCACCGCAGTGGACATCACTCCCGTTCCGAGAGTGACATTTGTAGCACCCGACACCAGTGGTCGGCTTGGCGAACTCTGGGGGCGAGAGAACATAAGCGAAATGGCCAAACACTGGTTTGAAAACAACAGTAAAAGAACAAGAAAATTCTATAAAACAACACTGAGGAAGAGTGGCTGCTTAATGGAACATGAGTTTGCCCACAAAAAAACGTCATTCGTACGAACCACATCGCTTCAGCTGCACAAATCATCTCCGCACCAAATACGCTCACTGACAAATGAAGTTTATATAAAACACAGACCAAAACACGCACGCACTGAACAAATCATTCACATTCAACGATGTGTTTAAGTGAAAAGGGAACGCGTAGGCCAAACATTATATTCTTTCTGCATTTTGTTCACCTCTGCAAGTAAAAAAAAAAAGTAAGGTTGTTGGCATAAGTAGGGCTCTATGCTGACCGATAAACCCCATTTTTAAAAATCAAAATCAAAAAAAAAAAAAAATCGATTTACACCAATTAAATTAAAACTTGTTTTAATTCAATCAAAGTAAACTTACTTATAAATGTTATTATGTTCTTATTAATATATATTATTTAACTTGGTTCGACTTTGTTGTGTCACAAAACACATATGTTTATATAAATATCACGACGCGCTTCCTCCATGTTTTCCAACCGATAAGAGAGACGGCCAATTTGTCTATTTTGGCCACAAGCTGAGACAACATTTTTTTGTCTGCTCCCCGGCTAACGAGATGTAACAAGAAGAGGAAGAGTGCAGCAAATCAATGGCGCCCTCTGGCGTCTGGTTACTTGGCTGGAGTCCTCATTGTTATAAGTGTGGCTTCCCGGACTTAGTTTTGGCAAGCCATAACGTGCTGGTCACTGGGGTCATTTTTGGTGGGGATATTATGAACCCCACTACTGGGGCCTAATGTTTGCAAGCCATAAAGTGCTGGTCACTGGGGCTATTTTTGGTGGGGATGTTATGAACCCCACTACTAGGGCCTAATGTTTGCAAGCCATAAAGTGCTGGTCACTCGGGCTATTTTTGGTGGGGATGTTATGAACACGACTGCTAGGGCTTAATGTTTGCAAGCCATAAAGTGCTGGTCACTGGGGCCATTTTTGGTGTGAACATTATGAACCCCACTACTAGGGCCTAATGTTTGCAAGAAATAAAGTGCTGGTCACTGGGGCCATTTTGGTGGTGATGTTATGAACCCCTCTATTAGGGCCTAATGTTTGCAAGCCATAAAGTGCTGGTCACTCGGGCTATTTTTGGTGGGGATGTTATGAACACCACTGCTAGGGCCTAATGTTTGCAAGCCATAAAGTGCTGGTCACTGGGGCCATTTTTGGTGGGGATGTTATGAACCCCACTACTAGGGCCTAATGTTTGCAAGCAATAAAGTGCTGGTCACTGGGGCCATTTTTGGTGGGAACATTATGAACCCCACTACTGGGGCCTAATGTTTGCAAGCAATAAAGTGCTGGTCACTGGGGCCATTTTTGGTGGGGATATTGTGAACCCCACCACAAGGGCATAATGTTTGCTACTATTAATTGCTGGTGACCGGGGCCACACAGGTGGGGATAGTATGCAACATTCCTTATTCGGTCTTGAGGTTCGATTAATGGAGGTAGGCAACGCAAGCCTTCCCCCGGAGAGGAAGCAAAGCCGTTCAGACCCAAGGAGAGTGGACCGCGAACGCTTTAGACGCAGCCTTTTCAGTCGACCGGACGTCCCGCAGGCCAAGTGTACTTGTTTTTATAGTCATTTTAATTTTTAAGCTACTGTTTCTATATATATATATCGTCATTTTTCACATTGTAGTTACTATTCTAGTGTCTCTGGTTTTTCATTTTTATTTTACTTTAGCAGCTTAAATAGCTTACATATTTTTAATAATTGTAAAGCGCTTAGAGCTGTAAGGTAAGCGCTATACAAACATGCCTAAATAAATAAATGAATATCCCATCCCCTTTAAAACCGCAGATTTTATAACACCTTTCTAATACTACGCACCAAGCGCTCTTGCGGAGATACTTAAGAACCTCACTTAGTTAGCGCAGTCATCGGGAATTTTATTTTGAAATGGACTGTCAATCATTTTAAAGGGTCCCCTAAAGTCTACACGACTCCAACGGTTGTCTCCCTTCACGTAGAGAACTGTTTATGTTGATGTTTTTTTGGTAAGACATGTGACCCGTCGGCACCCGACATAAAGACACGTGTATGGGTGAACGAACAAATCCATCCTCAGAAAGAAATGTGACTGTGGGGTCTTACTACAAAAGTATTCCATTATTTTAAAAAACTTTTTGAAAAACTTTGAGAACACGTGACTCGTCCACAACTTAAAAGATTTTTTTTTTTTTTAAATGAACGACGCCATCTTGATGACGATTGCAATTACAGCGGCCGAACAAATAATACCAAAGGTAATAATGTCAAGTGGCATGAGGATGACAGTTGACGTTCTGCAAAAATAAATCGAAGAACAAATGTCTTCTTTGATGGGAAATGTCATCTGTGATGGGAAATGTCACAATTCGGCGCGTTAATGGCAAATTAATGACGTCACGAGAGCTCAGAACGAAAACAACATTGATACTTGGTGATAATTGACAGCTATCTTGGTGCTGACTGACAGCTAACTTGGTGCTAACTTACAGCTAACTGGGTGATAACTGATAGCTAACTTGGTGATAACTGACAGCTAACTCGTTGATAACTGACAGCTAACTTTTTGAAAACTTACAACTTATTAAACAACCAATACGAATATTGTTATGGAGTTGTCACTGGACCCATGACAGGGAGTTGTCAATGGACCCATGACAGGGAGTTGTTACTGGACCCATGACAGGGAGTTGTTACTGGACCCATGACAGGGAGTTGTCACTGGACCCATGACAGGGAGTTGTCACTGGACCCATGACAGGGAGTTGTCACTGGACCCATGACAGGGAGTTGTCACTGGACCCATGACAGGGAGTTGTTACTGGACCCATGACAGGGAGTTGTCACTGGACCCATGACAGGGAGTTGTCACTGGACCCATGACAGGGAGTTGTCACTGGACCCATGACAGGGAGTTGTTACTGGACCCATGACAGGGAGTTGTCACTGGACCCATGACAGGGAGTTGTTACTGGACCCATGACAGGGAGTTGTCACTGGACCCATGACAGCCGCTTGAAGAACTCATCACACGTGAGCGTTGTATAGGATTTCTTTCTGTAAAAGCCAACAGCTGCATTGGAGACTTTCATTTACATCTAATGCCACGTGCCGTTGTGGGCCAATCGGTGTAAGCTATTCTCTCTGAGAAGTTTTCATTCAATTTCTCTTAGATAACAGCTGTACGATTACTTCTCTCTGAGTAGTTATCTTTCGGTTATTATAGATAACAGCCGTAAGTTTACTTCGCACTGAGGTGCTGTCCCTCGGTTATCATAGCTAACAGCTGTAAGCGTACTTCTCAATGAGAAGTTATCATTTGGTTATCATATGTAACAACTCTACAGGCGCTTCTTGTTCAGAAGTCATCGTTGGGTTAGCGTTTGACACAACCTGCAAGATTAGTGCTGAAATAATGTAGAAGACCATTGGAAGGTGAGGGCAATCACCATAACAAAGTTTGTTGAAGACGAATGACAGCTCGCGTGAACTCGTAATAAGCAAATAAGCGACGAAATGCAAATAGCGTCGACTCGCAGGCGATTAGTCACACCTCAAGGTATAGTTACTGTTATAGGTGATAAGTCAATCTTAGGGTGAGCGATAACTGGGGTGAGTACAGCAGGGTAATGTGTACGTCTACCAGGACATCGGGGTGAATGAGGGGGGCAGTGTTCCCCAACGTATCCGGGTTCTGCTGGGGAGTATCATGGTGGGAGGTCATTGAGTCTCTAGTGAACTTGTTGTTTGAACATTTCAATGGGTGAGGGTTGCGCGGACAAGGTCAGAAAGGACGGGGGTGGTGGTGGCGGCATTAAACCTTATTGGTGTTTAGAGGTGGGGCAAAATAATTTGAAGTGTGAGAGAGAGGGAGAGAAAGAGAGGGAAAGATAGAGGGAGAGAGAGAGATAGAGAGAGAGGGCAAGAAAGAGGTGAAGAGAGACATTGGAAGAGATGAAGATGGAGAAGAAGAGAGAGATGGGGAGAGAGAGATGGGGAGAGAGAGAGAGAGAGCGATAGGTAAAGAGAGAGGGGGAGAGAGAGGAGAGAGAGATTAGGGGGATTAGTAACGCAATTAGGGGAGATTAGTGACGTCAGGGTGACAAGTAATTCTTAAGTCAATAGTAAAACTAGGTCATTCTCGCTCTTGGATGATTAGCGATCTTATGGAATTAGGACAACTAATTAGAGCGATTTTTTCTTCCAGGCGTATGTCACTAATGTCAGTTAACAAAACAGCTTCATTCTTGGTCAGTGGCAGTTGAATCAAATGTATGCATTATAGTCCAAATAATGGCCCAATAAAAAATACACAACCTGGATCATAGTGTAATGCTACTTCATAATTGTCATTTACTAGATCAGCGGTTCTCAACCTGTGGGCCGCGGCTCCTTTCGTGGTCGAACGACCCTTGTACAGTGGTCGCCTAAGATCATCGGGAAACACATATTTATTAAGTAGCCACTAAATTAATTGTATGGTTGGGGGTCTGACCACAGCATAAGGAACGACATGAAAGGGTCGCGGCATTAGGAGGGCTGAGAACCACTGTGCCCGTATACAATGTCCTTATCAGTCTTGCCCCACCTCACTCTGGGCCAGGCTTAAGAGTAAATACAAAGTAACGCCTTACTTTCCGACACCTAAACAGAATCCCATTCAGAAACAAATTGGCGCCAACGACACCAAAATACTGTTAGAGCATTTTTTTTTCCCCTTCTGCTTTAAAGGGAATTTTTCTCACCAGCAAACGTCCTTTTATTGAATTTCACGGAGAGGGAGATTGTCGTTAAATGCAGAATTCCCAAGAGGAGGATTTAGTTACTCAATAATTTAGGGAGGGGAAATGGAATGTGTCTTGACAGCGCATGTCTAAAACTTGTTGTAACATAATC